GCCCCCTTATGCACAACATAGTCCTTGCTGCGCTGCTCAGCACAGGCCTCAGAGCTTCATTGAATCGGTCCTGTGATCGAGCCGCTGGGCTGCAAGAGATCTGGGTTCAGTTCCCGGTTCGGTCAGACTGTGAGAGGCCTCGGGCAAATCATGTGATCTCTGGGACAATATTTCTTCCACCTGCTGTCAGTCTTGTCTGTTTAGCCAGCAAACTGTTTGGGCTAATCTAGTACTGTCAGGCCTTTACCTCATTTGGGGAGTCTTTGCTACTTTGGTACTACAAATAACATTGGGTCGCACAATAACAATATAAAAAGCCAGCAGTATTTACCCAGCACTTTTCATCTGTAGTGCTCAGTGTCTCACATTGTTGCCATTTTACAGATGAGGAAGCTGAGACACAGTAGCTTCTTGTTTCCCTATAGCGGCTCTAAAAAGCATGGGGGAGGGTACACGGGGACAGACTGGCCGGTACCACACCACCTTAACAAATGCAGAGAGGGCAAATGAAAGTTCAAAGGCCTGCAAAGAAGCATGCTGTTTCACTGCATAAACAGAAGAACAGGAGTACTTGTGGCACCTTAGAGACTAACAAATTTATTAGAGCATAAGCTTTCGTGGACTACAGCCCACTTCTTCGGATGCATATAGAATGGAACATATAGACTAACACGGCTGCTACTCTGAAAACTGCATAAACAGGTGATCATATGGTCCTACCAGGGGTCAACTCCTGGTTTGTGTTCCCAGCTTTGCCAGTGACTTGCTTGTGACTACACAAGGTATCTCGCGCCTCTGCCTCACTTCCCCATCTGTAAAGTGGGAATGACGATGGTGATACACTGCCTCTCAGAAGCGTTGGGAAGTTTTAATAATGACTGTCAAAGTGGTGTGAGTCCCCTAACGACAGGCAATATAGAAATGTGAAATATTATTACTATATGTGTGTGCAGACTGTCTGAAATTGGAATACTGAGTCCCATTTGAATCCGATCCTTTCTCCCCCTCATCCTATAGTTGGGAGTTAAAGCTCTGACATATAATGACCTGATTCAGGCTCAGAAGGAGATCTCCGCTCACAACCAGCAGCTGAAGGAACAGACAAAGCAGCTGGAGAAAGATAACAGCGAACTCAGGAACCAGAGCTTGCAGCTGGTACGTACCGTGCTTCCATCTGACTAGCAATGTGTGAGCCAAGTGATGGCCATTTATATATAGAAAGCAGGTCATGAACTGCTATTTTCCCTTTTATATCTTAATGAGAACAAAAACTGAACGGAAACCATAGTTCCTCTAGAGCCTAGAAGAATGTTGTCTATGCAAAGAATGCTACGCTGGTGATGGGAAGAGCTCGTGTGTCCAGTTCTTGTGCTCACTGTCTAGTTCCTGTGCTATCTGTGGCTTCTCTCTAGTCCTAGACCTTTTGGCTTCTGAGAACAGTCGCCAGTTGCTTTCTTTTC